GGACATGGTGTTGTCTATGTATCCACACATGTATCTGAGTTTCCTATCAATACAATTATAGCATGGATAATAAACGATTATCATGAACAAGGAAATATAATAATAACTAATTTATTATTGCCTCTAGGGCATATTTCCAACATGCGGGTGCCCGGGGCTTGGGGTGCGGGCACCCGGGAGGGTCAGCGGGTATGCACAGGGGGGACCGGGTGCCCGGGGTTTGTAGTCCGGGTGCTCGGGGGTCACGGATTTGGGCGGAAATTCGTGGGAAAATGGGAGAAATTGGTGGATTTCGTGGGCGGAAAGGTGGAGATGGATGGGGGGAAGGCTAGATCTACTTGAAACCAAGAAAATCCATGGATCAAATCCAACAAAACCTCATCAAACCAACAAATCACAAAAAAAATTGGGGCTATTTTTGGTGGGGAATTTTTGAAATTGGGGAAGAACACACAAAATTAGGCTAGAAAACAAAGAGGGGAGGCTCCAATTTCGTGATCAACGTGGCTCATGATACCAAGATGTTGTAGGGTGGAACCCTAGATGGAGATCTTTCACGAATTGGAGGGGAAGACCCCAAAAACGCGAAGAACATGAAGAACACAAGAGAGGGAAAACACTCAAATTGACTAGATCCAATCACACATATGCTAGATTCAAGAACACACAAGAGGTCACAATGAATCCAAGGACAACAAAGGAAAGATACAAGGTACTAGTTCATCCCAATCCTATGAGGAGAGAGGTCTTGATGATCCGATGATGGGGATCCTTCCCAAGTTGGGGGCTTGATATCCACTAGGGATATTCTCCTAGGAGGTCTTAATCTCCTAGAGGAGTGGGTACAAGGAGCAAAGCTCTCTAAATCATCTCATATACTTTGCTATCCTCTAAATGAGCTAGGGAAGGGGTATATATAGTCTAGGGACCAAATAAGAGGAGGGGGATACAAGGGTAAAAACCCAAAAAGGCACGCATGCCCTCTAAGTGGTGTGGGCACCCGGGGGTCCTAGGCCCGGGCACCCGGGGTAGACGCAGGGGCCTGGGCGGTCAAGGCCGGGCACCCGGGGCCGTCTGGAGAGGGGCCGGGCACCCGGGCAGGTGGCAGCAGCACCAGTGGGAGGGGGGCGGGCACCCGGGGCCTCAAGGCCGGGCACCCGGAGGGCGGCTGGCGCAGGTGGCCGGGCACCCGGGGGTGGCTGGGGGTAGCGCCGGGGTGGTGCGGGCACCCAGGCCCTCCATGGCCAGGCACCCGGGGCCGGCTAGGAGCGGCGCCAGGGGAGGGGCCGGGTCTCCAGGGCCAAAGTGCCCGGGCACCCAGGGTGTCCAGGACTCCTCCTTCTTCTCTCTTGTCGCGCGTCCATCTTCCTTCTCCTCCTCCGTAGGTCTCCGATGAACTTGGTGATCCCTCCGTGCTTTCTCATGACGATCTCCGAAGTACCTAAGAATGCATAACATTTCCATTTGAGGTAGAGTCCGACTCTCGAATGAATTTGAGTGGAGCTCGAAGAGGAAGGAGTTCACCTTGTTCTCAATGGCGCGTGCATGAGCTCTCGTAATAGGTTCTCTCTGTGCTTGCGGTGGTAGAGCGACGTGCATGGTGATGGTTGAGGGATGCTCCGCATCAATGATGTGATGGAACCGACCCATCCGTTAGCTTAGCATTCTGATCATTACAGTTTTGTTGCTACTGATTTCTTCATGACTTATACATGTTCCTCACACTATGAGATTATGCAACTCACGAATACCGGAGGAACACCTTGTGTGCTATCAAACGTCACAACGTAAAAGGGTGATTATAAAGATGCTTTACAGGTGTCTCCAAGGTGTTTGTTGGGTTGGCATATATCAAGATTAGGATTTGTCACTCCGTGTATCGGAGAGGTATCTCTGGGCCCTCTCGGTAATGCTCATCACTATAAGCCTTGCAAGCAATGTGACTAATGAGTTAGTTGCAAGATGAAGTATTACGGAACGAGTAAAGAGACTTGCCGGTAACGATATTGAAGTAGGTATGATGATACCGATGATCGAATCTCGGGCAAGTAACATACCGATGACAAAGGGAACAACATATGTTGTTATGCGGTTTGACCGATAAAGATCTTTGTCGGGGGCATGAACCCCGGGCAGACAACGGAACCCGGATCCTTTTCAAAAACAACGGGGCCAGCATCGCCCCTCAAGCTGGCTAACACTCGGCCGGGTCACTCAACCAGGCCAAGCCCCTTGACCCGCCCGAACTCTCCAACCCGGCCAAGCCCCTCGACTCAGCCCCAACAACCAGCTCAAGGCGGCCGAACCCGGCACACTAAGACTTCCCCAACAAGCCAACTCCGCCCTTGGCGTGTTCCTCAACCCAGCCAAGGGTCAGCTCCCGTCCCATCCAGGCCATACGATGGGACGAGTCTCCATCTACCCATGACTGAGGCAACAACTGCTGACGCCAGCAAGCGGCGACCTGACAAAGCGCCATCGTACACGACTAAACTCGGCCACTCCCTGATGATCGACAAGACGGCGAACGGTGCCCCTAGGCAAGCGGGGCCCACGCCTAGGGGAACTCGGTGAACCACTGCCACCCGGCGGGTCCCAGCTCCGGGTTCCCAGACGCTTACCATTGTACCCCTGGGGGGTTGGCCTATAAAACCCCCCAGGAGCCCCCATGCATACGGGCAAGCACGCAGAGAAATAGCCAACTGATCGATAAAACACACAAACACACACAGGGAGAGGGAGCAGCCTAAGCCCTGGCCAGCCCTCCTTCTTCCTCCAAACAGCTCTAGGAGCAACTCTGTACTATTGCATATCAACCACACTCGGCAGGACTAGGGGTGTTATCTCTCCGGAGATCCCCGAACCTGGGTATGTCTTGCATCCCGCGCTCGCTCATGCCGACCTCGCCTCTGGAGCCCACCAGTGCCCTCGAGCCTCCTCCTCTCTTTAGCCATCCCATGGCATCTGTCGTGCGCCCACCACAACAATCTTCATAGAATATGTATGAGCCAATATGAGCATCCAGGTTCAGCTATTGGTTATTGATCGGAGATGTGTCTCGATCATGTCTACATAGTTTTCGAAACCGTAGGGTCCGCACGCTTAACGTTCGATGACGATTTGTATTATGAATTATGTGTTTTGATGACCGAAGTTTGTTCAGAGTCCCGAATGAGATCACGGACGTGACGAGGAGTCTCAAAATGGTCAAGACATAAAGATCGATATATTGGAAGGCTATATTCGGACATCGGGAAAGGTTACGAGTGATTCGAGTATTTTTCGAAGTACCGGGGAGTTACGGGAATTCACCGGGAGAAGTAATGGGTCTTATTGGGCCATACGGGAAATAGAGGAGGCATGCCAAAGGGGAGGTGGTGTGCCCCCCCCCATGGGTCCGAATTGGACTAGGGGAAGGGGGCGGCGCCCCCCTTGCCCTTTCCTACTCCCTCTCTCCTTCCTTCTCTCCTACTCCTAAAGGGAAAGGATTCCTACTAGGACTTGGAAGTCCTAGTAGGACTCCATACACTTGGCGCGCCCCTAGGGGGCCAGCCTCTCTCCCTCCCTCCTTTATATATGGGGGCAAGGGGCACCCCAAAGACACACAAGTTTCTCTTAACCGTGTGCGGTGCCCCTCTCCACAGTTACACACCTCGATCATACCATCATAGTGCTTAGGCGAAGCCCTGCGCCGGCAACATCATCATCACCGTTGCCACACCGTTGTGCTGACGAAACTCACCCTCGTCCTCAACTGGATCAAGAGCACGAGGGACGTCATCGAGCTGAACGTGGAGGTGTCATACGTTAGGTACTTGATCGGTTGGATCGCAAAGAAGTTCGACTACATCAACCGCGTTATTGAAACCATTGTTCAAAAAATCTTCCGATTCAGCGATTAATCTTCTGATTTATCGCTACTCGTGGGTTGACCGATAAGATTATGTGTTATCTTCATTGTTTATCTTTTGGGCCAATTTATCGCTCTAACAAGCGATTTATCGGGAACGAGGGCTTCGAAAGTCCAAATATTTTCATCTCGTGGTCCTTGTGACGAGGGCTTCGAAATAAGAACACATACAAGTTCTTAAAACTTCAGCAAGTTTCAACTGTTGAAACTTGACACGGACGAACAACAAAAATCACTACCTTTCAAAAACTAAAACTTAAAACTTAGTTTGCACTCATATGTGAAATCAAAAAAGAAAAAATTAGACCAACAGGGGAGGAGCCCGCAGCATTATTATTAAGAAGGATAGAAATTCGTACGAAGAAAAAGAAAGATAAAAATTACTACCACTGTAAACTAATATAAGACATTTCACTAAAGTAGTGACCAAGAAGTCTTATATTAGTTTACGAACGGAATACAACACAAGAAACTAGGGGTACATGGTTGTACTTTATTTTTACAAATATCTGTTGTCAAACCGGCTAGACCTTCTGTAATGCTTTAGTGTGATTTTTTTTAAAAAGATCCAAATCTAATACAAAAATCACCAGAAGTATAAAAGACTTCAAACATAAGAAAAAATACATTGTGTCTTTAGACCACCAAACAATCACTACCATCGGCAGAACGAGCCGCCGACACGACTCACTATGAAGACATTTTCACTTTATATAAAGTGGTAGAGATCAGATTGAAGAAAAATGTAGTACTATAAAACTAAAATAATTTTTTTAAATGAAACTTGCTCTGAATTATCTTAAAAGACAAATAGGAACTCTTAGAATAATCCCATTTATTTAGCTAAAAAGGAAAAGTTATTTTTCGAGGAAAAATTAGAGCTCCCGCGCCCTAGGACAGCGTCACCGCCGGCGCCCCAATCCCAATCCCACTCCCACTCCCACTTCCACCCCTACACTGCCGCCGCCGCCGCCATTCCGGTTCTTCCTCGCCGGCGCGTCGCGTTCCCGCCGTCTCCACTCCGTCCCGGTCTTCGGCCATCGGGCTTCGGGGCACCCGGCGCACCATCTAGATCCGCCCCCAAATCGCCATGGCGGGGCAGTCCGACCCGCATCTCTCCCTCTTCTCGCCCTCCGAGGTAATCGACCCCCGCGCCCGCCCGTATCTGTATGCATCCTTGTCGACCCTAGGAGGGCCTGTCCCCTCGCTGCTGTCTCCCTTTGTGATGGCGGCTGGTTGGTTCGTTTGGTGCAGGTGGAGTTCGTGGCCGAGGATGAGATCGTCGAGATCGTCCCCAACATCCGCATGGAGGCCCTGAACATGATCTGCGTGCGTGCTCTGAACTTACTGATTTTTTTGCTTGTCAGTATTCCCCTAGTTCACTCGTTATGTTCACCGCGCCTCCATTTCTCCGGGATTTTATCCGGCCATTCGCTGTCCAGTGATTAGAACACTTCGGAGCTTTGGTGACTGTAGTATTATGTAGGAATTCTTGAGAGCTGGGCCAATTTTAGAGTTTAGTCATGTCAATTTTATTGCAAGTAGTTCCTCCACCCTGCGCTGGCCAAAAAATTGGCAAAAATTGTGAAGGGAACATCAAATAATCCTCAGGCAACCGAAATTTTGGCAACAAACCAAGCAATATCCAAAGTGCCAAGTGGTGCTACTCACATGGTTCAGTTTTAGCTAACATTGTACTCACCTCCATCATGTAGGGGGATTTCGGGCCCTTCTTCCCCCAAATTCCAAGCAAGGTCCCTCTGTGGCTTGCTGTGGCGCTCAAGAGGCGTGGCAAGTGCACCATACGTGCACCCGAGTGGATGACTGTTGGTGAGTGCTCCGCTCGCTTGCTTGTTTTAGTAGCTTCATCTCCTGTCAAACCTGCATCGTAGCTTATAGGATTTACATTTGCTACATGTGGTGCATATATGACAAGTCATACAGGGGAGCTCTGTACCTCTAACTTATCGAGTGATGCATGCGACCAGTGTGCACGTTTTCTGAATTTTTGTGTGCTTGCCCATTTGTCCTTCAGTTGCACCATCTGGTGAAACTGACACTGCTTATATCTGAAACATACTTAACTGCCTATTTCGCCCCTGAAATGTTTGTTGTCTTTGTTGCTAGAGCGCTTAACACAGGTGTTGGATGCTGAAAGAGAGTCACCTAGAGAATTTCAACCATTACCGTTCCACTATATCGAAATATCTAAGCTTCTGTTTGATCAGTAAGCAGCCCTTGCAACTTTCTGACTGCTTTTATTCTATAGTAAGAACCTATATAATTTCGTTATAGAAACAGCACATATAGCCTGAGTCTCTTTTTTTTTTACAGTGCTCGTGATGACATCACAGATGCTTACTTGGTGAGTAATAAAGAATTCTGAAGGAAAATTTGTAAATTTGTACCGTCTAATTTGCTATGATTTTCTTAAAAGATTCTTACTTGTAGCTTTGATACAGGTGAGATCTTTGATCGAGGATATCAGAGATGTCAGGTTCCATAAGGTCGAGTCTGGATTGGAGACAATATCTGGCCGTACTCATGCTGTGAAGGTATCTTTTTGTCCTCCCACGTCCAGCCACTGGCTCCTAAAATTCTGCTGTTAAAGTTATCATGGATATGTGCAATATGTCGCCTTTTTTCTCCATTACATTAACAGTTCTGGTGTTTTTCTTGAAGTGATCTTATATGCATATCTATAGGTTAACCTTCTCGTTTCTCATGGAACTCACAAAAATTTGAACACATCTGGGGGTTATGAATATTCAAATGCTGATAATATGATTAATTACAAAATTATGAGGGGTTCTGTTATTTTTTATTTTTTTTAAACTGGAACATTTCATTCCATACTTTTAAACCCGCACAGCAAAATCGCTGGTGACCAAAGACGATACAAAGTCTGGGGCCTGATTATGCCACACAGAAGTGGCTACCGCTACCCTAAAGCCATATGCGGTAGTTCATGGGCATCTTTATTACATTCACGCTTACAGAAATGAAATTCGAAGCTGTCAAAACCAGTTCGACATAAAGTGCGAGTCCCTCAGTATGACTCCGATTGACATGGAATCATGTTCTCTTGACTTTAGAGCATTCAGTAGATTGAGAGAGTCGGACTCAAAGATAACTCTGTGCAGCCCCAGCTCTACCCCAGCCTCAACCGATTAAATGCACGCTGCTGTTTCTGTGTTTAACGGGCTAGACAGGTAATCAAGCTTCCCAGCAGCCGCTGCGAGGAACTCCCCCTGATCTGTTCTGAAGATACATCCCCACGCTACATCTCCTAAATCAGCATGAAATGCAGCGTCAAAGTTCACCTTGATGAAGCTCTCCTTCGGCCTGCGCCACACAGCTTTCTCCTTCTGGACAGCTTCGGCCTGCTGCATTGGGGCTGGTTTCGCAAAGTCCATAGTGTGCTTCCTGACTGCAGCGCACACATCCTCAGTTGATCTCACCTTGTCTCTGGCATTTGCTTTATTTCTGGCGGACCACCACTCGCACAGCAGAACAAGAGCATCATCACGCCGCTTGCTGTTCAAACTCCATAGGTGATTAAACATCTCCATTCGGGTCTGGCATTTCACCAATTCTAGGCGGACATCCTCCCAAATCCAGCTGCCTCCAGTCCTGTTTCACGTTTTTGCATTTTACAAATAGATGGCCCCCGACCTCATCCAGCCTCCCGCACATTGGACAGATTGTGTCGAGATCAACCTTCTTCCTTTTTATGTAAATTCTCAGCGGTAAGCTATTCCGAGCGAGCCTCCGAGTGAAAATCCGTACCTTATCCGGCATGGATAGGTCCCAGTAACGACTCCAAATGTCAGCACCACGACCTGCACCCGATGAGGATTCAGCATCACGGCTTAGCCGCACATCCCTGAGTTGCACGCCGAGGTGATAAGCTGATTTTACAGAGAACCTCCCCTTGGGGTCAAAGTGCCAAGCAATATGATCTTCCATGCCCTCACGGATTGGAATAGCTATAATATCTTTTGCATCTTCTTCAGAAAAGAGGTCCACGACCAACTATTCATCCCATGTTTCCGTTACAGGATCCACCAGGTTGCTTACCTTAGTAATGACAGCGTTGCCTCGGACAGACCTCGGTTTTCTGTGTCACCCCGTGGTATCCATGGGTCCTCCCACACCTTAATGTTATCCCCTCAACCCACTTGCCAAATTACTCCTTCCTTGTAGAGTGCAATGCCTTTGAGAATACTTCTCCATGTGTAAGAAATGCCATCCTTCGCCTCTGCCTCCAGGACTGAGCAGTTTGGGTAGTACCGAGCTTTGAGGACTCGAGCACAAAGAGTATCCGGGGCGTCCAGCAGCTGCCACCCCTGATAGGACAGCATTGCGAGGATGCAAATGTGTAGATCCTGGAAACCCAGGCCTCCCTCCTTCGATGAGCCTGGCATACTGCTTTACTTGTGGCGTACATGTTTGTTACAGTATTACAGCACATTGTTTATTACTCCCTCTGTAAACTAATATAAGAGCATTTAGATAACTAAAATAGTGATCTAAATGCTCTTATATTAGTTTACGGAGGGAGTACTTGGTACAGCAATCAGAGCCTAGTTTTGGGCTCACTATGTTTTACAAATTAACAAGCTGATCTTTTGCTTACTGCCTTGTGCTTCTTTTTTTCTGCATTTTGACAGCTCAAAAATCTCTCTGCAATGGAGGTGAATATCGTGCGTCCATTTATGGTGAGAACTTTGCAGGCGTTCTACAAGCATGATAGCCCACAGATGATTCAGCAGGCAGACAACACAGGGAGCAGATCAACACCGGTCACAGATCGCGGTCCAAGGGTAAGCCCTCTCTTCTGCAGTCATGATTTCTACTGTCCTCTAGGAAGTAGCTTTCTTTAGCAGATTCTCTCCAAGGTGCATGTTGCTCACAGAACGATTGCCTGCCACAAATCTAGTTTACATGATAAAGTTGGGTGAGCCTATCTGATGGATGTTTCAACTAGACACAAGAACCTGTACTCCATATTTTCATGCTTCTGATAACATGCCTAATAAAATCCTTGCTTAAATCCGTGAACTCCTAACAGTATCGTTTGTCATCAAAAGTTGCACATGACAAGTTCCCCCTTCCCTTTTGCTTGTGCAGAGAGACCTAAGGCGCAGGTAACGAGCATACTCGTGCCGAAACAGCCGAGGCGCGGGTCGTGAGCGGGACATCCATGTGCGTGTCACTTGTATTTGATGATAATTCTCTGCATAGGAGTGGAATTGTAGTGAACAAAGGCACCCGCTGCGCTGTTGTCATGTGCTGTATGTTATTAGCTGAAGAGCCATTTTAGTTCCCTCAGCGCGTCGATTTTACCCTACTGTATCGGATCGTGATGGATGTGTGTTTATCTATTAACCACAAGGTTTTAGAATTGGCCATTGTAGTTTCCCGCAGTGTGTGGTCTGCCGCTGTATTGGCCGTGATGTTCTACTGGACTGTTTGTTGCTTTACTGGTCAGGCGATCACGAGTACATTGATACCCCCTCCGTCCCATAATATAAGAGCGTTTTTCACAGTTAAAGGGACGGAGGGAGTATGTCGTAACGACCAGTGCCGGCACTCTGTTGGACTCAGCTTCCAGCGGTCTGTGTCGACAGGCTGAACTGGTTCCTGAATGTGATGGCCCCTGAAGTAGATGGTGTTGTACTGACATGGCAGCAGTGACATAGCATGCCAGGTTTTTTGTAGGTATATGATGCACAAAAAAATAAAATACAGATACATCTTTTCTTGAATATTTTGGTGAACACGAATGTAATGTACAGTAAAATAAAGTGCGCTCGACAAAGGGGAATCAATCATGCGAGCTGTGAAATTAACAGTTGGAGCGACCGTTGCTGCTCCAGTGTTCATGGCGGCTGAAACAAATCACTGGACTAATAACAAATTTCAGGAACGGCTGAGGAAAAATTAAAAAATGGGGTGAGAAACGGCTGAGGGAAAAATAAAAAATGGGGTGAGAGAGGCTCGAACTCTCGACCTCAGGATCACTCTTTAGCTATGAGACCTACGCGCTAGCCAACTGCGCCACCACCCCGATTGGTTACAGTTGCAAAACAGACTTATATATTCCTTGACAGTATTTAATATTTAGTGTTTATTTTTCTATTTTATGTTTTTTCTGTTCTCCTTGAAAATTCTTCTCAAATCATGTATTTCGCGACCGACCGCACCTGCTGCTCATAGCGGTCCATTTTGCACAGTAGGTTGCCCTTCTAGCCGAACCCAAACTTCTACACTACATTCGGATAAAGAAAACTTTTAGTCCCTTCGTAACAAATAAATACTCCCTCCATCCGGAAATACGTGTCATCAAAATGAATAAAAGGGATGTATTTAGACATATTTAAGTTATAGATACATCTCTTTTTATTCATTTTGATGACAAGTATTTTTTAACGGAGAGAGTAGACTGACTAAAACATCTTACATCTGTTATAGAGGTAGAATTTACTAAACTCGGAGCTTACAAGTTCCAACAAAACGAATACACTTTCTATTACCCAGCTTGGTAAATTTTAGTGTGACACTACTGAGTGAAAGTTCACTAGAGGCAGAGAGCATTTCAGGTACCTGGACCATTGAACACTAGTACTGCCGTCTGAACGAGCCGTCCACGTGCCACTGTCGCCGCTCCCATACTTGAGTCGGCACGACCTTGTTGATAACAGCCGAGAAGTCTTCGTGCACGTGCCCCTAAGGACCAGCGCATGGGAGCCGCCGCCGTCGCCACCAAACCCTTGAATCAATCTGAAGTGCCTAACAACATATTTTGTCGTCGTGCATGCACGACGAGGAACCCTAACCTCGCCGCCCCAAGGGGACGACAAAAATCTACGCTAGAGCACCGTAAACCTCATCCAGACAAACAAATTCAAGGAGGATCGAAGCGCAGAACACAAACTTGAAGATGAAGCACCGCCATCCATCCGAGCACCGCCCATGTGAGGACTAAAATATCCTAACCTAAACTACTAGCCGGAGCCGAGGTATCGGGATTCCCCTCACTGCCACCAGCCGCCAGAGCGGAGTGTAGAGGGGAGGCGAATCAACAGGCTAGCCAGTGGATCTTGGATGGGAGGAGATCTTTGCTCTAGGCGCCTACTTTACAAACTGAAGTTTATAACTTGGTGGCAAAGGAATGCTACCAGCTATGATGAATTGCAACTTTCTATTTTCTACAGTCAGATGAAAGATTACAACCTGATGGATTGCAACTTTCAACTACCACAAAACTGAAGCTTCCAATCTGATGAAATGTAGCTTTCTACTTCCAAGTTGATGGGTTGCAATCTTCTATCGCGCTCTACTACCAAACATACAAAATGAAGCTTTTGAACTTACTGACTTGCAATGTTTCTACTAGCAAATATAAAACTTAGCTACCTGGGAGGTAAAAGCTTTGTACTTGAAACTATATGCTTCTAATTAGCTTGCATTATCTACAATATAAACTAAAATTTACTTCTAACAAAAGTAGATAGATTTATGTATTGTTTTATTTCTTAACTTTGCAGTAACATAAACAAGAAAAAAATACATTTAGTATGCCCTTAGATGGAGAGAGGGTGACTATATTGAGATTAGTTCTTTGTTAGGATTAGTGTGATGAACTAATGCCGTGTTTCGCTGGAGGAATGAGAATGCGATGTGGTTGGACGAACACGAATGGAATGGTTTGTGATCTCTACTACTTAAAAAGAACGTAAGGTTCTCATTTCACCTTTCTTTCCACCACCCCTTCATCCAACCTTGTATGATAATAAATCAACTTAATTGACTTACCTTCTGAGCCAGTTCCACTTTAATATACTTACAAAACTTCAGATGAAAATATATGGTATTTCATGGGCAGAATTTGAGGATCATTTATTTACACAACCGTATTATTACAGACAGGTAAATCACAAGCTGATGTACTAGAAGATTTATCCCAACGCATGGGCATTGTTCTAGTTGATTAACAAAAATGTACCTCTCAACTTCAATGGTAAGCAAACATTAACATTTTAAAGGGACGTTTTCCATAAAAATGACTTCTTCACGATAAATATGTCAATTATCTTCAAACGTTTGTGAAATAACACAATTACAGAAGAGTGGTGGCACTATCTAACAAAAAACTAATTCACGCTATCCAGCATACTGGAGAACAGGAGAAGCATTTTTAAATTTTGGCTCAACAATTTTGAACCATCTCTACGAGGCCCTGACCAAACAGAGGAATGTGTCAAAAGTGTTGATCGCTCCAATCGCAGAGGCATACGACGTCTTGACAACCCAAGTGTGAAGGTTGGCATGCTCTTTCGAGCCTATTTGAGAAATATTTCTCAATATTGATTGAAAATATATATGCCATTTCTCTTAGTGGTCCAACCAAATAGGGAGGCATATGAGGTCTCGATCACCTAGTTTGCATGAGTTGCTGAGAACAAATATATTAAGACATGACCGTCCTATTGAGTATATTTAAGAAATGTTTTCTCACCTACCATAAAAATGTCCCGGTTTTAGTAGGGTCGTCTAAAAAAGCTAAGTGTGAGGGAAAATGGTGAAACAATTGTTGACGTCGCTTCGGTGACAATGAACATCATGATATCTCAGAACAAAAAGAAAAAGACATGATTGAGACCAGCAGACAAATACGGGAAAGATATAAAAAAAAAAGAGGAAAGCACTTGGCACAAGGGCAACATATACCCCAATACATGATGGTTTTATACGTATAATGTAGCCATTGCCGAAGTCTACACACTTGTCCTTGTTTATTGTTGTAGGATCTCAATCTGACAGGACACTGGTTTGTCTATCTAACCCTCTTGTTCTAACGTAAAACATCTCAGAGCTTTTGCGGATCAACTCAGCATAAAGGTTTCGTGGTGTAGTTGGTTATCACGTCAGTCTAACACACTGAAGGTCTCCGGTTCGAACCCGGGCGAAACCAAAATTGTATTTTTTTACCTTTTCTTTTTTGCAATTTCAACAGTGAAAAAAAAGAGAAGAAAAAAAAGATAAATGGCCCATGCAGGTCTCGAACCTGCGACCTTCGCGTTATTAGCACGACGCTCTAACCAGCTGAGCTAATAGGCCTTTTCTGGCAAAGGGATTCCGAGTTAATTATTTAGCTAGAAGCTCCTCTTACCTTTTCGCTGCCAAACTGAAGAACAAGTTGATTTTTTTCGATTGGCAGGACCGTACGTGGTAGCCAGGAAGAATGAGAGCTACTTCTATTAGTTTTTTCATAAGAAAAAGGAAATTAGCGAGTCGTATGCGTGTAGTCCACGTTTACTGCAGGCATGATCCCTCGGTATGCTCGGATTAGACCACCCAGCATGAATCATCGATCAGGTTTGTTTGATCCATCCATCTAAACGGTACAAAAACGAGATATATAGATCAATTTTAAAAATGGGCGTCTGTAACGCGCCTCAGATTTCCTCCTTTCATGGGTCTTTCATCTGAATAGCAAAAACACTCGTTCACCACTATCCAAATTTTATGATCTGATGGATCAAGTCTTGAAAAACCGCGCTGGTTGAATGGTAAAGAAATCCCTCGCGCAGTCGACAAACCATGTTTTTATATGCTGGAATCAACTACTTTGGGAGGGAGAGTTAGAATTTAAACGACGCCGCTTGTTGCGCGTCGTTTCCTTTATAGAGGCCGTGTCCAGGTGCATATGCACGGGATGAACACTAAACTTTGAAAAAATATAATTATTTTGTGTGATAAACAATGTTTAATGTTTTACTAATATGCAAAGTTTCATGATGGGTAAACACCCACAGGTGAAAAAAAAGAATGTTCCAAAGTGCTTTAAAAAGTTGCCCTTTTCGCAACATTTTTTTTCTCAACACATTGTTAATTACTTGTGAATTTGTGATACAGCACTGCAGTCTTGAGAGTAATCTTGTGCTCACTATGTTTGTAAGATAATGAGGTTTATCTCTTTCTCACTGCCTGATGCTTCTTTTTTCGTGCATTTCTGCAGCTAAAAAATCTCTCTGCACTGGAGGTGAATATTGCCTGTCCTTTTATGGTGAGAACTTTTTGCAGGCGTTCTACAAGCATGATAGCCCACAGATGCTTCAGCAGGAAGATAATATAGGGAGCAGATCAACACCAGTCACAAACTGCGGTCCAAGAGTACTTGAATTTTTCGCTTTCCTACTGTAAGGTGCTAGCTGCTCTAGAGATGATCGCCTACCACAAATCTAGTCAACATGACAATTCATCACATTGAGATGCGCAAGCTGGGTGACCAGCCCGGAGAATCGCGGCGCGGCGAGCGAGAGAGCGCTTCGAAGATGCTGCGCTTCCAGGCGATCCACGGGATCAGGGCTACTGCACAAGGGAGGGGCAGATCCGAGTGTCCAGTCCAGGATCACGAGACGGTGCAGGAAGCTCAGCATTCTGGTGTTGGAGGATACACGTACAAGCCACACACTACCAGTCAGCAGCATGGAGAAAAATCACTAGTCGGTGGAATAATAGTTCAAGAACGGCTGATGGAAAAAAAAAGGAAAATGGGGTGAGAGAGGCTCGAACTCTCGACCTCAGGATCACTCACTTCAGCTATGAGACCTACGCGCTAGCCAACTGCGCCACCACCCCGTTGTGACCATTGTTGAAAACTTTGTCTTATAACACATATTCATTAGTACGCGCTGAGCTTGCATGGCAAAACGAAAAAGGAAAAGCAAACACATCGTCTACAACATAGATTCTGCTTTAATTAACTTCTAAAAAACACTTTCCAGAGAAAAAATATATATAGCAATTGTATTTCTTCTATGGCAGTAACATAAACAAGGAACACAATACACTTTACTGTCCTGCCCCTGACGCCAAATAAGAAGGGAATAAACCAGCATTTGCAAAGAAAATAACGACAGCCAACAACCTCTAGGTGATTGGCCCCACGTGCATGACGATTGTAGTATACTCCATACGTTTCTAAATTCTTTTTTTAAAGATTTCAATAAATGACTACATACGGAGCAAAATGAGTGAAGCTACACTCTAAAATATGTCTATATACATCTGTATGTGATAGTCTATTTAAAATCTCTAAAAAGATAAATATTTAGAAACAAAGAGAGTATATAAGAAGGTACATATTTTTGATAGTGGGCCAAAGCTACAAAAGCCTCCCATGCATAGCGCACTAGGTAGGAAGTGCGGCTTGCCACACCCGACAGCGATGCTGTAGGTCATAAGTCATATCCAATCAGTAATATAGTCATTGAAGCATTGCAAATATTTTTTTTTGCGTAATTTAGTTATGTTTGTCAATTTAATATATCAAATTTCTATCAGAAGCATTGCATTGGTACATACACATTCAGTACACAGCAAATGGTCCAGGAATCAGATCCTAATTCCTCTAAAAATCCATTTTAGATGAGAAACTGTGGAAAGGAAAAAAGAACATGTCCTGATTCCTCTAAAAATCAATTTTAGATGATAACCCATGGTGTAGAAAGTCAGGGAGGTGGGTTTTCACCAATACGCCGGCAGGGTCTCCACTTCCTCCTCTCTCACCCTCTCTTCTTCCCACTCCACCCCCCTCTATGCCTCCTCTTTCCACCATATAATCTGGAGCATTTGAACACATATTAGCCATGGAAAGAAATTAGTGAAATTCAAAACAATAAATTTAGTGATCACATCAGGGATGGGTTTGGGAGCTCAAATATACCTCGAGATGATGCAGAGATGGGGAAATCGTTGTTGGCGATACCCTGCTGAACAACCACACATAGGGGCTACAGATATTTGACCGACTACCATCTTCTGCCGAGAAGGAGAAGCAGACGCAAAACCTCGGGATGGTGCAGAGATGGTGAAATCGCAGATGTCGATACCCTGCTGAACATCCACATGTGCGCTGCCAGCATCCACAAATAAATAAACTCAATCTTGCATTGACCATATATATCTTCTCAACCATAGAAAAAAATCAAAATATATTATTTTTAGCATGAGAATCTAAGAATAGTTACTTTCGCACTGCACTAATGCTAAGCCTGTCATAATAATATCCTCGGCTCAAGGTATTTGACCAAAAAAATAGAAGAGATATCATCATGCATATAATCCAATTAACAGTCTAAATTGCACGACGAACTTTACATATTTAATTTACCCCTGGACTGAACCAGAAGTGACAAATATTTTAGCATTACTCCTTGAGTTGTTTTCTGCAAGGTGTAGATCTGATGCTACACACCCTGATAAATGTATAGTAGCAATTTATGATTCTTTTCTAAAAAGGAGGTATACAACTACACACACTGGATACTCTAGTTCATGGTAATAAATATTAAGAGAAGAAATATATCACGACAATCATCGTAACTCATTTCATGAAATAAAAATCGAAAAAAGGGGGAGATGCTTTCATGGAAGAATCTAAAATCATTCATTGGAAAACTAATATTGTTTTTCTGCTACCAATTATATATATATCAACTGATGTATGTACATTATCAAAACAGAGCAAGTAACAGGAAGCACATTATTATTTTGAGCTAAAATGTATGCAGATGGTACAGACACTCCAGGTATATTCTGATTATTCTACTGCCCCTAAGCCCAAAAGAATGAGCAAGAGGAAATACATATATCTCAGAAAAACAGGATTACACATCTGAAGAAAATAAATTTGTCTGATAAAATTCCATGTATGACTTGCAAAAGTATATCTATTCCCTTTGATCACTATTGTGATATAACCTGTTATTATCCACCTTGATTTATCATTTATTCTGGTAGAAAGCAGAAGATATAACCTATTATTTCTACACAAAAAGTAACCTCTAACCATGATCTCTATCGTTTTTATTTAACTTTTGAGCCTCTGGGAAATTCAAGATTCCTTCTTAAGCATGGGAATATGATATGCAGAAGATCTATGAAACACAATAAAACTAACTTGATCTTAAGTTCCCCTGTTCACCAATATGGGAAATACAGAGCTTTGCCTTCATTGCATGATGCAGATCCTATGGATTGTTTACTTAGTAATTAGTAATTGACATTCTTCCCTTGGAACAGAGGTCCATAACATGATGGTGAAACTCATGGTGTTATTTAAATAGTCCCTTCGACTGTAACGGGCTGCCGACAACCCAAGCTACTCTAAAAGGAGATCAAGCATCATTCGGCCTGGGATACTCACAACACAAGGCTCGGCCTACGTCATAAAGAAGCTCAACGGGGTTAATTAAAATCGGGGAAGACAAAGATAAAGTATAGAACAATTTGGTGAATACTCAGGCTATCTAATGAACCAATTGCAGGAAAATTGGACGTACATGTAGTACTATCTATCATGTTAGCCAACATACTTGTAATCATGTGTAGGGTCATGAATAGAACAATAGAACACCAGTATCTGATACTCTGCATTTGCAAAGCATCCCGTTTCCATATTATAGCTTGTCCTATGAGCCAGACCTCGAAAGCATAGAGCATAAAATTACTTAGTAGAGGGAATAACCTCCCCAGATGGACTCCGCTCAGCAAGCGGGTCTCTTAGACACTCTTCTCTATACAGTAACCAAAGAAAGAAAGTACTATTCTTCGAACTAAACCTACTGAATGAACCAGGGAGAAAAATCAAATGTTTGTAGCTCATGGGTTCAGCTATCTGATCTAACATATATTGCGCTGAATTAAATATATGTTGTAGCTACATAGTTCTGAACCAAATGAAAACATAGAACCAAAGTTCTCATGACTATATTCTAAATTTATCTTGTTATAATATTCAAAGAAACCTATGTTGGACTAATGGGCATACAAGTTCTACCAACTTGCGAAATAATTTACATAAAGAGAGTGAACAGTGACATCTCGCCAGTTGAACGGGACACAGGGGTGTGGCAGGAAGGAGCAGCGTCCATTAGGTTGGGGCTTGATCCTCTTGTGTGTGTTCTGCTGCTCAATGGCGTTTCAGGTGAATCACCCAGCAGAAGATTCATCTCACAAAAGACTCATATCTATGTTGGCGTTTCAGGTGAATCGCCCAACAGAAGATTGCTCATCATGTCATTCTCCCAGCCAATGTAAGCTTGAAATAAAATGGCATGGAGCAAAATAAGAAATACAATTACATCCAAGTTCATTGCATGATAGAAGACTTCACTCTAAATTATTAGGAGCTCTTAGTTGCAAAACGCATATTTGAAGTATTTTAACATGATTCAAACTCTCTGAATACAAAAGGAATGTACAAAATTACAGTAACCCAATCTTGTACATGTTGGCAAAACTAAAAAGGTAACTAAATTAATAAGCTATATCAATTTAATAACCACACAGTATTCCTTTGTACACTACTGTTTAAGAGAAAATTCTAGTCAAGACATGAATGTGACAGGAAAACAACAGAGTAGAAATAGACTTCAGATCCTACCGCAGTTGTAGTCCATCATCATGAGGAATGTCTTGGTGAGCACCCCAGACAGCAGCTTCTCCCGAACAAAGCTTACCACGGCAAGATCCCTCTCCTGCATGAACCCCGCCACGTACGATGGTGTGATCCCCTGAGCGCTCCTCCACCTTGAGATGCCAGCGCACATGTGCATGCCCGCCTCAAGCCTCTCCTTCTCCTTCCTGACATCACTGATGTTGTCCTCGAGCATGGTGCACACACCTTACTCCAGGTTCAGCATCGTCGCGTGGACCAGGGCACCGACATCTGGTTATTAAGCAGTACTTTCATAAATGATGGAACTACAACATTTATGTAAATTGCAAATATATGAATATTCTGAATTAGTGTATCGCTAAACAAAGTATTTATCACAAATAAAAATGGAAAAAAGTTATGTTGAGTGTGTTTATTGATTCACAGTATTTATGCCTAATTAGTTGCCACCAAGAATAGGCTGAATTACACAGTCCCAACCAAATCGTGCTCCCTCTGCCATCGGATCAAGAAACCTCTGACAAAGAAAGTATGCAGGCAGCAACACAACAGGAATCAATCAGTGTAATATTTCCAGGGGTGCCATAGTTGCCGCTCTGCCTCTCTTTCAGCACATAGAGCTTAGCTCTTTTTCTGTCCATGCCTATCAACTTGGGATAATAGTCACTATGTTCATATATGTAGATACTGAACCCAAATGAGAGCACTTCATGTAATAAGCTTAAAGGAGTTATTGTTGGCCAGCCACCCTTGGTATCCATGAAGAAGAATGCATAACAAGTCCAATTACTTACTGGAGAACATGTGAAGCCATGAATAGTTGGGGCTCACCACCACACACACGTGGGCGCCTAATCTGGAAATGTATGTATGAAATCATCCTCAACAAACCTGTCAATCATGGATGCAAGGAAACACAACAGTTCAAAGCATATCGATAATAATTATCCACGCCACATTTACATTTTAAAACCAGAAGAGCAAACATAACAACAACAATGTTCATCAACTAACCATTAAGTCTCTTCCCGTCTAGTGACAGATTCATCAGCAGCATGTACAATGATGGATTTGTATAGCCGCTTCCTGAATTCATCAGCTAGCTTTCATTTAAGATTTTCATTAGGTATAGGTTTCCCCGAGAGGACGCATGCTCTATGTACCACAGAGCAAAATAAGCAACTCCCATCTCCTGGGATGCCTGACAAATCAAGGTAAAACAGTCATAGGCAGTAGCCTAATGCCATGCTGACATATCCGCAAATATAACTTCTTCACTTGTACTTGAGGCTCCACATCATCTTTTTTTTTCTTTTGTTGCACACCATCCTTTTCCTTTTGTTGCTGCCAATGAAAAGTATAGTAATTAGTTTGTAAATGAACAATACAACATATCATGTACCATCACTATACAATGGCAAATCAAGGCATAAATTTTCTGAACAGTCACTATACATTTTCTGAACAGTCACTATACAATGGCAAATCAAGGCATAAATTTTCAGCACTAAAAAAGGTACTAAAACAAATTGAACATATTATATTTTTTTACCAGCTCCCTATAAGATCTTTTGGTTCACAAAACGTAGGATATTAAGAGAAAGTGAAAAGAATATACACCCATACATAAGCCCTCGGCATGAACAGGTTAGCTGACAGGAGCAGAAGAGATACATGTTGACTACATCACCATTGGTGAGCTCAAACATTATAGAAAAGTGACTTGATCAAGAATAGTAGTGCACATATTGTCCTCCACCAAGTGATCAGCTAGCTATGAAAAGAGTTCTGGAAACCATGTGAATCCATACAACCAATTAGCTACGATTGATTGCTGTAGCTTCTCTTAAATTCAACAATATCTGATTTTTAGAACAATATCTAATTTCAGAACTGCTATATCTAAAGGTCAAACCATGGCATACATATTCAGAGAAAGAAGATAAGTTCAGTTTGGTTTGTACTGCAGGCTCACATATCAGTTCAGTTTGGTTTGTATTACAGGTGGTCAGAACAACAAACTAATCGAGGAACAAGATAAGGGACCTGTTAGCGGATGGCCTGATGTGCTACAGGTAACCGGAATCGAGCGTCCTTGGTCGGTGGAGCAGGGAGCTTGGTCCAGGCGGCGACGGCGCTCCTCCCCAATCTGTGGCATTGACCTACCCATTCCGCGGTGGCGCTCCTTCCTTGCCTGTTGTGCGGCCCGGTGGTGTGCTCTTTGAAGGAAATATGCCCTAGAGGCAATAATAAAGTTATTATTTATTTCCTTATATCATGATAAATGTTTATTATTCATGCTAGAATTGTATTAACCGGAAACATAATACATGTGTGAATACATAGACAAACATAGTGTCACTAGTATGCCTATACTTGACTAGCTCGTTTATCAAAGATGGTTATGTTTCCTAGCCATGGACAAAAGAGTTGTCATTTGATTAATGGGATCACATCATTAGGAGAATGATGTGATTGACATGACCCATTCCGTTAGCCTAGCACTTGATCGTTTAGTATGTTGCTATTGCTTTTTTCATGACTTATACATGTTCCTGTAACTATGAGAATTATGCAACTCCCGTTTACCGGAGGAACACTTTGGGTGCTACCAAACGTCACAACGTAACTGGGTGATTATAAAGGAGTACTACAGGTGTCTCCAAAGGTACATGTTGGGTTGGCGTATTTCGAGATTAGGTTTTGTCACTCCGATTGTCGGAGAGGTATCTCTGGGCCCTCTCGGTAATGCACATCACTATAAGCCTTGCAAGCAATGTAGCTAATGAGTTAGTTACGGAATGATGCATTACGTAATGAGTAAAGAGACTTGCCGGTAACGAGATTGAACTAGGTATTGGATACCGACGATCGGATCTCGGGCAAGTAACATACCGATGACAAAGGGAACAAAGTATGTTGTTATGTGGTTTGACCGATAAAGATCTTCGTAGAATATGTAGGAGCCAATATGGGCATCCAGGTTCCGCTATTGGTTATTGACCAAGAATAGTTCTAGGTCATGTCTACATAGTTCTCGAACCCGTAGGGTCCGCACGCTTAAGGTTTCGATGACAGTTATATTACGAGTTTATGAGTTTTGATGTACCGAAGGAGTTCGGAGTCCCGGATGAGATCGGGGACATGACGAGGAGTCTCGAAATGGTCGAGACGTAAAGATCGATATATTGGACGACTATATTCGGAGTTCAGAAAGGTTCCGAGTCATTCGAGTATTTTTCGGTGTACCGGAGAGTTACCGGAATTCGCCGGGGAGTATATGGGCCTTATTGCGCCATACGGGAATAGAGAAGAGATGCCGAAAGGAAGGAGGCGCGCAGCCCCCCTCTGGTTCGAATTGGACAAGGGGTGCAGCCCCCTTTTCCTTCCTCCTCTCCCCCTCTTTCCTTCTCTCCTACTCCAACAAGGAAGGGGGGAGTCCTACTCCCGGTGGGAGTAGGACTCCTCCTAGCGCGCCCCTCCTGGCCGACCGAACCCCTCCCCCTTGCTCCTTTATATACGGGGGCAGGGGGGCACCTCTAGGTAGAACAACATCTGAAGAAAATAAATTTGTCTGATAAAATTCCATGTATGACTTGCAAAAGTATATCTATTCCCTTTGATCACTATTGTGATATAACCTGTTATTATCCACCTTGATTTATCATTTATTCTGGTAGAAAGCAGAAGATATAACCTATTATTTCTACACAAAAAGTAACCTCTAACCATGATCTCTATCGTTTTTATTTAACTTTTGAGCCTCTGGGAAATTCAAGATTCCTTCTTAAGCATGGGAATATGATATGCAGAAGATCTATGAAACACAATAAAACTAACTTGATCTTAAGTTCCCCTGTTCACCAATATGGGAAATACAGAGCTTTGCCTTCATTGCATGATGCAGATCCTATGGATTGTTTACTTAGTAATTAGTAATTGACATTCTTCCCTTGGAACAGAGGTCCATAACATGATGGTGAAACTCATGGTGTTATTTAAATAGTCCCTTCGACTGTAACGGGCTGCCGACAACCCAAGCTACTCTAAAAGGAGATCAAGCATCATTCGGCCTGGGATACTCACAACACAAGGCTCGGCCTACGTCATAAAGAAGCTCAACGGGGTTAATTAAAATCGGGGAAGACAAAGATAAAGTATAGAACAATTTGGTGAATACTCAGGCTATCTAATGAACCAATTGCAGGAAAATTGGACGTACATGTAGTACTATCTATCATGTTAGCCAACATACTTGTAATCATGTGTAGGGTCATGAATAGAACAATAGAACACCAGTATCTGATACTCTGCATTTGCAAAGCATCCCGTTTCCATATTATAGCTTGTCCTATGAGCCAGACCTCGAAAGCATAGAGCATAAAATTACTTAGTAGAGGGAATAACCTCCCCAGATGGACTCCGCTCAGCAAGCGGGTCTCTTAGACACTCTTCTCTATACAGTAACCAAAGAAAGAAAGTACTATTCTTCGAACTAAACCTACTGAATGAACCAGGGAGAAAAATCAAATGTTTGTAGCTCATGGGTTC